AGAGCTGAAAACTCCCCTACCAGGTTTGCTGTGTGCTGGAGGTGAAGGTGATCAAAGTCCTTCATTGGCTCTGACAGCAGGACAGGGTGTGACAGGAGAAGCACATCCACACTCATTCACACGCTTTCACACACAGCGCAGGGACACACACACTCTCACACACACACAGGTGAGTCCAGCAGCAGCAGCTGAAAGTGTTTATTGTGATGTTCATCTGTCCTGCAGCAGGCTCCAGACTCTGGATGTAGATGTGTGATGTACAGCGCTCAGATGTTGCTCAGATGTTTGTTAAAGTTCTCGATGCCATCTTTACAGTAGAAGATATTTAGAGTAATGTTGATGTCTTTATTTGGTTTTCTCTTGCTGCATGATCAATACTATAGTAATGTATGTTAACTATACTCATGCTTTTGAACAATGCTGTGGTAAAGTGTATTATCCTGTGTATGTTATAGTGCTACTGTTATCATGTGTTGATGGATGCTCCAGCATACTGTAGTGTTGACTATAGTGAACTCATATACCGTAATAAACACTGTAGTATTCTTTAGTGTTGACACAGTAAACTGCGGTGTGTTGTGCACTATACCCTGCAGTGGTAGAAAACCCCAGTGTTGGCTCATTTGTTTCAATGACTGTAGTTGTTGTGTTACCATAGCAGCTGTTAAATCCCTACAGCAGATTAATTGAAGAACACACCAAAATGACTGCTTGTTCCAGCTACTTATTTAAAATGAGTTGACACGACTCAGCTCTTCATTAATCTGAGGGAACTTTTTTGTTTTTGTTCAATCCTCTTAAATGTGTAGTTAATGTAGGGGTGAGTTAACTTATTTGATGTGTGCTGAGTGTAACGCAGCGTTTGTGCAGTGTGTTTCACTATATCACAGCAGGAGAGGGACACACACTGCTGATAGATGTGTGTATGTGTAGAGAGAGATCAATATGAGCATGTGAGTGATTGACAGCGGTAATGGGAGGCTGTAATCAGCAGGGTGTGTGTGTGTGTGTGTGTGTTAATTGTTTTTAAGGGGCGTCTGCTGGTTAATCAGGACAGGTAACTTCAGTTCACACCCACAGAGAAAGAGCTGGAGACAAAACACACACACAAACACAAACACACACACTTGGCACCAGGAGCAAATATGCATGGCAACATATTACAACACGCCTGCAGCAGATTTACATGATGAGGATGATGATGACGTGTGTAAATAATGTTCAGACTCTGTGTTGGTTTATTATAGTGACTCTGACAGGAGGACAGCTGTGAGGCACCATGAACACACAGACCAGCAGAACCAGTAAGAGCTGCTCCATCACTCACTCACTCACTCATCACATCATCATGGAGAAATATCGAGACCACCGACACACTGCGCATCTCTGGAGCTTCGCTTTATTGAGAATAATGCTCCATCAGCTCATGCTTTTAATAACATTAACCAAGAATAAATCATCTGCTAAAGCGTGTAATCGTCACAATGCACCATGTGTGAATGTGTTATTGAAGCCGGAGTTGTGCTTGATCACTTTAGTGAGTCTCATCAACTGATCCTGTCACTTCAATACCGACAGCACTTCAGCTTCTCACTGTTCCTGCTGTTTACTGCTGGCGTACTGCCCTGCCTATTATCAACATTCAGCCATTTATTTTCAGCTTACTCCCTTTACTAATCTGGGGTCGCCACAGTGGAATGAACCGACAACTATTCCAGCACATGTTTTGCACAGCGGATGTGAACTGTATATCAGTATTGATAAAGCAGGATCCTGTTGTACATCTCATCATTGCTTTTATCTGTTGTGCGTGCGTGTGTGTGTGTGTGTGTGTGTGTGTGTGTGTGTGTGTGTGTGTGTGTGTGTGTGTGTGTGTGTGTGTGTGCACTGATGATCCACAGGTGCAGAAAACAAG